TCGATTTTGTTTAATAAGTAGGGTTCCGCTTGAACCTAACTACCGTCCTATAGTCCTGCTGAGAAGCGTTCTATAGATCCGATCCTTCGGCATACTCGAATTTTCATTGTTCTGCTGAGAAGCGTTCGGTGAATTCGATATCTCGAACCGTCTAGCCGCTGTATGTTACATCCCTGCTGAGAAGCGTTATTGTAACATATAGACTGGAGTTTTCCGAATCTTGCCTAGTTCGATTTTCACTGTTCTGCTGAGAAGCGCTCGGTGAAATCGACAACGTATCGTCTAGCTGTTGTGCTTTGCATCTCTGCTGAGAAGCGTTATTGTAAAGTACAGACTAGATTTTCCCGAATTTCTAATCCTTCGGCATACTCGATATTTATTGTCCTGCTGAGAAGCGTTCCATAAATTCGATATACCGAAGCGTCTTACCGTTGTGTTTTATTTCTCTGCTGAGAAGCGTGATAATAATACATAGACCGAAGACTACTTTTCCTAAAATTTTCCCGACACTCATTTTCCGATTTTATTATTAATATAGAAATCGAGCAAAATCTATACGACTACACCTGATTTATTTGTAATACGAAACGATTTTAAAACCACCGTTTTTATATTTGAAAAATTCATTTTTCCGAAAACGTTTCGTAGAACAAATCCGATTTCCTACTAGGTACCGCTTAGTCTGATTTTTCCGCTTTGCATTTTTTGCTTTTCTTAAATAACCGATACTTTTCCTTTCTGCTTTAACGAAGAAACTGTATATTTTTATTTTGTAATATATTTAATCGTGAAATCCTATCTGGTGTATTTTACTGCTTCAATATTACAAATTATATTTTCCATGAGTAAATAACAAAACTACTATAGTTGCTTCCGTACTCTTGCCTTGAAATAATTAAAGCCTATTTCTTGATAACCGCTTAAGTATAGTCTCTAACATTTTCGACCCCTGGAAGTACTATCTCCATCTGTAGTTACCTAGGCCCTTCAACACCGAATCTGAAGGTAAGTGGAGTAAACCACCAAAAATCTGGCGCCCGAGAAACCGACCGAAGACACCGAGACGCGCCACTTGTAACCCTATTCGGGAAGCAGCGAAAAACGGTTACAATACTTATTAGCATATTTTGATATTCCTTGATTTCCAGCGCTCTGCTTCAGATAGGGGCTCCGTATAACAGTATTGACTGCACCGCACTACCCAGGATTTCCCTTTTCCTGCTGCTTGGTCCATTTATCTTGTGCATTAGTTTACCTATGGCTGTTATCTTCTCAGTTGCTTTCTTGACATGTTCCCCGAAGGACCCTCTATGATCAAAATATATACCGAGGTATTTCATCGTTTTGCTTGGTATTATTTGGTAGTCTTCTACCTCTAATCTTCATTTCTTATCTTACGTTCTTAAAAAGTATGCCTTTGAGGACCACCGCTTCGGTTTTCTGTGTAGCCAGCTTTAAACTCTGGCTTTTTAGCCATTCAGATACTCGAACTATTGATTCGTTTGCTTTTTCTACGATTCCTGAGCGGTCGGAATCCTGGATCAGCAGCGCCAAGTCGTCAGCGAAGGCTATACTATGACAGCCTTCTGGTAGTTCTAGCCTCAGCACTCCGTCATACATGACGTTCCAGAGGAGAGGCCCCAGGACAGAGCCCTGCGGTACTCCTGCTGTCATTTCGTGTGTTATTCCCTTTTCTATTATCACAACCCTATTTGAGAGGTATTCTTTGATCATATCAATTAAGTATCTCGATTTCCTTGCTTTCCAGTTCCTTGATGATATTTTTCCAGTTTGCCGTGTTGAAAGCGTTCTGTATATCGAGAGCTATAAGAATCACCCATTTCTTCGGTGTATTTTCTATCTTATTTTTTATCCATTCCGCTGCCTGTGTCGTCGATTTTCCAGCTCTGAAACCGAACTGTCTCTCTGACAAGCCCCCTTTTTCCTCTAATGCAGTTTCCAGTCGTTCTTTTAACAGTCCTTCTAGTAATTTTCGCCATGACGTCCATCAGTCAAATCGACCTGTATGATCCTGGGTCACCCTCTGGTTTTCTGTGTTTCGGTATTAAAATTACTTTGGCTTCTTTCCATATTTTTGTAAACTGTTTTTACGCGAGTAGCTGGTTCATTGTTCGTAAGATCATATCTGGCACAGCTTCAACAGCTTTCTTTACCACTTCCGCCGTGATTCCGTCCAATCCAGGAGCCTTGCCAGCTTTCATCCTTTCTGTATTCCATCCTATCCTCCACTCTTGGAAAAAGGTGCTTTACAATGTCGATTTTTTTTGTCTGCATGCCACCGACATTTCATGATTTCACAGCTACCTAATATAAATTCCCAAAATAATCAGATTTTTATAGAAATTTGCTTTTATTTCGGAAGCCTTATTATTTAGGTATAGGAACGTGATATACCATTTGAAAGAGAATTTAATTATCTTTTTGAATATTTAAAAGTATACGGAGTGTCGCATTTAAAAAAAATGAAATTATTAGCATATGTATTGTAACGAAGTTATTATTTTATTTTTCGTATTGTTAATTTTCCAGATTTCCCATATTTAATTTGATCTCCCCGTATAGTATAGTCTAACTTTCCGCGTCGAATCCATCTTCAATTTGGAAGTGGAGGTAAAGTTTTTTGTAAATTCAAAAGGTATAAATTAACCGGCTTTTCAAAAAGACTCTCTCGTCCTGTAGCCGCTCGTCCTGTAGACGCTCGTCCCGTATACTCGCGTACTTTTGCTCTCGTTCCGTTTGAGTTCGTCCCGTAGAATCTCGTTCCGTTTGGGTTCGTCCCTGTTGAGTGTCGCTCGTACACAAATTTCGGCGAGACAAAATTTAATACGCGTTACGTGAAAAACCATTTTTCCGCGTGTCCGAAGGAAGTTTCCACGTGGACCGATCTGTGACCGGCGAACGTCCGATAAACCGAATGTAAGTACTTATTGTTTTTGGTTAATTTATTTCATTGTGAGATTTTATAAGTATTTTACCCTGTTAAATTTGGGAACTGGTAATCTGACACTATTTTCCCTGAAAAACCGTTTTGTTCGCCGCGTCATAGCTATTATTTATGCGTATAAAGATCGCGTTACTGCCCCCCGTATTATTAAAAATATTAGGATTGTTAATTTATTTGTGTTATATAGTTTTGTTATTTTGAATAAGTAATTTTGTTAAATCCGAAACGAGAACTTTTATTTCCTCCGTTCGATCCCCAACGGGAAATAAAAAAGAATTTTAAAAGATAAACTGCCGGTAAGTTCTGTACGCGCTAAAGGGAGAATTAAAGCCCTCCCTCTCAGCCGATTTACTACTTAGGTCACTAATATCACGACCCCTGGACGAACCGATTCTTCACTGTAGTTACCTGGCCCTCGTCGATTAGTAACGATATTAACAAGGGTAAGATTCGTGGAGTAAACCACATATAAAAATCTGGCGCCCGAGCAACCCCGTAAGTCACAAGACTATCGTCGAGGCGTTATAATTGTAGACGTATAATCCACCGCGGAAAAACGCGCTACAGTATATCTAGCGATAAAATGATAAAATTTTTGAACAACCCTGTATAAATAAAAAAATCGATTATAGCGAACTAATACTAATAGAATGCTCTACATTATACTACACCACACTACTTTCTAATCTACTTCACTATAAATCAAATCTACTCTAATTTTACATTTCAATACTATGAATCTACACTCTCAACACTATACTACACCACACTTATTTCTACTTTACTTTAGTATGATTCTACTCTACTCTGATTCTACATTTCAATATTATCAACACTGCTCTACTCTGAATATAATCTACTCTGATTTTACATTTTAATACTATGAACCTAGATTGCTCTACATTATATTACACCACACTTATTTCTACTCTACTTTAGTATGATTCTGCTCTGCTCTGATTCTACATTGAAATACTATCAACACTGCTCTACATTATACTTCACCACACTACTTTCTAATCTACTTCACTATAAATCAAATCTACTCTGATTCTACATTTCAATACTATAAATCTACACTCTCTACACTATACTACGCCACAATACTTTCTACTCTACTTCACTATGAATCTAATCTACTCTGATTCTACATTTTAATAATAACCTATATTGCTCTACATTATATTACACCACACTACTTTATAATCTACTTCACTGTGAATCTAATCTACTTTGATTCTACATTTCAATACTATGAATCTACACTCTCTACGTACACTATAGTACACCACACTTATTTCTACTCTTCTTTACACTGATTCTACTCTACTCTGATTCTAAATTTCAATACTTTCAATATACACTGCTCTACATTATACTACACCACACTACTTTCTACTCTACTTCACCATGAATCTAATCTACTCTGATTCTACATTTGAATACATTACCTTGATTAAAACCTTGACTGCTCTACACTATATTACACCACACTTATTTCTACTCTGCTTTATTATGTTTCTACTCTACTCTGATTCTATATTTCAATACTGTCAATATACACTGCTCTACATTATAATGTACATTATAGAATACTACACCACACTACTTTCTACTCACTATGAATCTAATCTATTCTGATTCTACATTTTACTACAATGAACCTGGACTGCTCTACATTATACTACACCACACTACCCAGACAGCACATAAATACTGCATGAGCATATAATTTAATTATATAATTGCATATTTGTATATTCCATGGATATGCCATATCCGCCAAGGTATATGACAGGAAGATTTCAGGAATATTTAAGGTCACCAAGAAACACATGCCTACGATATATTTTCATCCGCCAAAATATGTATATGTATGGCATATCATTCGCATTAACTAAGGATAATTCAAATATGCCTATTTGTGGTATTTTGAATATTCATGGCACATTGATTATCAGTATTATAGAAATATTTCAAAATATTATGACAAAATTATGACAAAGTTGGAATATTACTTCTTCTATTGCACCTCTCAGTTGCTTTGGTTCAAAATATACCAATGGCCTCCTCTACACTTTTTTCTGTTGCCGTTGCTGTACTGGGGATTTTCCTGCATACCTCTACAAGAAATAGGATTACTTAGTAAAGTGAATACAGAGCTGGCATTTCAGTAGCGAAATGGAACAAAAAATATATTAATGAGCGTAAGGTCTGTTGGCCCCTTAGTCAGATTTTTTTGCCATATTATACAATAATCAATTTTTTTGAGGGTCTCTTATTAAAAACGAAAGAAATACTTAATCAATATTAAATTAATTTATTACCTTTTATAATGTTGGGTGTATTAAGCAGGGAAAATTTGTTTTTCCCTTTTCCTCCAACCCAACTGTATGCTTTTAAAACGATATCATCCACAATCTTCGGCATAATTCTTTTGATGACGTCTTTTACGTTGTCGCCCCCAACATAAGTTAATTTTTTAACCTACAAAATATTAGAAGTAGACACAGTTTCTTTCAACTATTATTTGGTAATAAACATGTAAATACCATATATGTCCTTATGTCGTTGATATCAAATTTTGCATCCAGCTCAATAAATTCCTGCTTTGATTTAACAGGAAGTGTTAAATCAGGCTCTTCTTCTACGTCTCCCTGCTCTCTTATAGTTGCCCTCTCTGTTAATAGAGCCTGTATTAACTGAGTGTTTTTCAGCACTCTTCCATTTATAATATGGAGAAGTCTAAAACCTCAGTATCTGTAAATAAAATAAAAAAGAATTAGAAGAAGCAGGAATTGATTGAAGTGAATTTAGCTATTTTTCAAGTTTTTTACTTACCCTGTCCGACTTGTTGTTGCTATATTTGGTCGGTTAGTAGGCTCACCCACTTTTTCTGTCAAATTCTGCCTAATATTTAAATTTGCTTGCGAGGATGTGTCTGAAAATGTAGAATAATAAAATTAAGTAAACATTAATTAATTCTAACACAAACGGCTAAAAATATTACAATTGTTTATAATTATACAATCATTTACTTTGGTTTTTTGGTGGCGTCGGCATTTTAATGAATCGGGGAGATTTTCTTAGCTCCTTTTGCGGTGAATTATTTATTTCTTCCTCTGAAGAAGAACATATATATCTTCGGTTTTTTCTTCTCCGTCTCTTCTCTCGCACATCGTCATTTCCATCGATGTCAGTGTCTAAGCCGCTCGTATATTGTGCTTTTCCCGCTTTCACAGATGTAGTCATGAAATTGTCATAAACATGACTGCTTAAAATAATTACTTGATGCATAAGCCAATTGGGCTTGGGTACTACTTGACCTTTAATAGAAGCAGCTATTTTTAATTTCGATACAGAGTCTGGTCAGTAACATTTGGTCACTTTTCCTTCTTCTGACAACCAAGATGAAGGAACAGCCTCAACAACATTTTCTTCTAAAAATTTTATCACTTGCCAGCCTACCATTCTTTCTAAATTTCAATATACAAATACAAATAATACTAATATTAATAATAAGTGGAACAGAGTATGTAATTAATAAAAATAACAAAGATTTATAAAAAAATTGTAACACTAATTAAAGATTCAAAAATGAAAAATGCAGGCTAAGAGAGAATCGTTTTTTAATTTTTTTTAAATTTTTATGCCAGTCAAGAGCGAATAAAATCTATTCGTAGTTCGTATTTAGATTGTTTATATGAATACTAATTTCGTCGGCATGCAAATGAAAGTGACCAAGTCCACCGACAGAACTTTTAAGTTACGAACATTTTAATCTTTGTTTATGATTATCAACTCAATTATTTTACATCAGGCTAGTTTATAATGATTTTTATAAACAATGTAGTTTTTAGAAAATCGATTTTAAATTAATAAATTTAAAAATAATATTGAATTTCAAGTACATAAACATTAAAAAAACTAAAAATATAGTAACAAAAATGGTCACTTTCTCTTGTATACCGACGATTTATGCTGTATGTAATAATGGAAAAACAACAAAACCATCATTGTGTGGAAGGCGAACACATTTACCAACAATATTAGTAACTTCAATAATTTCATAAATAGAACTTAGGTTTTTTATAAAATACACATCAACTAAAGAGGAATTATATGGGGTTTTAAAGAACTCATCTTTTGACACAAATTTTCTAACAAGAGCTACTATTGTATTGTTCACACTATGAGCAAAACCAAATACTAAAGATATGCTACCATCATTTAATTTGCAACAGTTATCTTTTTTATAAGCAGCATTAAGGAAAAAAGTTGTAGACATAAATTTTAAATACTGAGGTACTGGCAATAAATGGGACACAAATTTTTCTGATTTAAGGTAAACTTTGTTATTCAATAGTAAATGTTTTGGACACATTTACGGACACAATGGACACAATGTTTTGGAACATTTAGTAAACCCTCAGAAAAACGTTTAATTAGTTGTTGCAATGGCTTATCACCTTTTCTGACATGATTCTTTATCAGTTGTAAATAATTTTCACTAGAGAAGATACTAAATGTATCCAAAGGTCCAAATCTACGCACACAATCTACTAAATGTAATAAATTATGAAAATTGTGTGACATATAATGGGTTCCATAAAGACACTGTGTTTGTTGCACAAAGTATGTTAACAGTTTTTCTGCATAATTATACAAATTACCTAAATTTAAAGAAATCAATATTCAATGCTGTCAAATAAACATACAAAATGAGTGTACTTTTCTTGAGGTAAAAAGGGTTTTAAAATCCCACTATATAAAAGAAATAGTCTAAATTCTGTAGCTTTCCACCTTTTACTTTCCAATACACTACGTGGCTTTCGTGTAAATTCGGAAGGAACATATACATATATTTTTTTATTAACACATCCATTAAACTAATCACTCTGCTAGGAAAGTTATTTGGTGGCCTACCAAAAACCCATGTTCCAACAAGCAATTTTTTAGTTACTCCTAACAAAACTAAACACATACAGTGCTTTCATTTCAAAACTAGCCACCCAAGATAACTTTTAAAATATCTTTAAAACAAAAGAACAAAAAAACACGTCAATTTTTATTTACGGGGGGACAAATTTTACAGGTATCTGTCACCCTGCAGTTTCAACCCCTAAGCGGGGGTGAATATCACTTCTAAAAGTTTAAATAGGAAGGGGTATCATGTGATAGCTCTATTTAAAGGTCTCTTTTTTTCCAATATTTTGACACATTATTTTTTTAAATCAGATTATTTTTTACAGAGTTATGCCATTTTAAAGTTTCAAATTAAAATAATTATTATTTAGATCGTATTTGCATTATTAATATTTTATTAGTATTAGAATTACCTTGTAATCAAATTAGATGTTCAAAATGTCCGCCATTGTTTGCAAGACAATGGTAAAGTCGCAGCTCGAATTCCTCCCGCACTTTTTGAAGCGTCTCTGGTGTAATTCGCTCACACTCCTCCACTATTCTACGTCTAAGTTCAAGAATATCGCGAGGTTGAGTTTTATACACCACAGTTTTTAGATGTCCCCATAAAAAAAGTCAAGGGGCGTTAGGTCGGGTGATCTAGCTGGCCATTCTATAGCGCCCCTTCTTCCGATCCATTTATTTGGAAATGTCTCATTAAGCCAATTTCGTACAGGCAGGGCATAATGTGGAGGTGCTCCGTCTTGTTGAAAAAATAGGTTTTCTTCGTCTAGCAACAAATTTCCATCTTCATCTATTTGGTTTTCTAAAGATTCGGTTATAAGGGGATTTATGAAATTTTCTAATAAGTCCAAATACAATTCCCCAGTTAAATTTTCTTCCATGAATAAAGGACCAATAATTTTATTTCCGAGAATTCCGGCCCATACGTTAATTTTCTGAGGATATTGATTGTGTTCTTCCCGAAAAACATGTGAATTGGTATTGTCCTAGTATCTACAATTATGTTTATTGACCAATCCATTTAAAAAGAATCCTGCCTCGTCAGAAAAACAAATATTTTTGTTGTATAAGCTGTTGTAAAAGCTGTATTTTGTAGGGAAAAAAATTATTTAGCCGTAACGTTTTATGCACCGAGCCGACGGAAATATTTGTTAACCTGGAGACTTTTTGTATTGATGTTTGAGGATCTATGGCAAAATGACCTAAAATCTCAACTTGTGCAGCTTCAGTTAAAACTCTACGATTCTTGACACTTTTATTGCACACACTTCCAGTTTCTTGAAATTTATGAACTAAATCCAACACATACTGATGTCCAACATTTTTATCGGGATGTCTTTGATTAAAAACATGAGCAGTTCTGCGTGCACAGTGTTGTCCTTCTCCATAAATAAAGATTATTTCAATTCTTTCTTGTAAAGAATAAACCATTGTCGAAAATTGTTGGTCAGTACACAACGAAACCAAAATACTAATAGTAAATTGTTTAAATTTATAGTCAAAAATATCTTTTGTAAAAACATTTAAGGTTTTTTTCTCACTTGCTTATCTCGGTATTTATACTCATGTACTTTTTTTAATTCCAATTCAAAATTTCAAATTTTTAACGGTTCTTTTTTTGTTCTTTTGTTTTAAAGATATTTTAAAAGTTATCTTGGGTGGCTAGTTTTGAAATGAAAGCACTGTATATGTACCTTCTTGCAACATTTAGTGCAGGATGAATACCCACTATGACCTTTTATACATAACAAAATGCAGGAGATTTTGCAGGAGCATCAAATAGAAAATACTTAATTCTAAAACCAACATGTTTATTATTAATTATCAAACCATTGTTTGATAAATGAATACATTCATTAACAAACTTTTCCAAAAATTCATTGGGATTCTTAGGTTTTTGGTACCCATGGTACAATCCTATTAAAATTATATTTTGTGAAGTATTTAACTCTAAGATTAATCCTAAAATCGGATAAACTTGGCTTCCCGAACTTTTACTTAATGGTAATCCATCAATATTTACTGCAAGTTCGATTTTTTTAGTAAGACTCTGCATGTTCAATTTAAAAAAAAATTTAATGCTACTTCTATACCTATGTGACAATATTGTCCTGGACTTACTAAACAAGTCGTTACTTGACGAACTGTTCCCAAAAAAGCTCTAGCTGTTTTGGGGATATCATTACCAAAGTGG